TTTGAAAGACGCCTAATCGTTTTGAAAAAACAGTCTCACTTGCTCTGCTCAGTCTCCTTGCCCATCTTTGGAAATAGTCTGCTCTTCCACTTTATATGTGTGTCTGTTTGAGAAAATTGTCGTGAGGAACTAAACGTAAAACCCGTTTACATTTTATCTAGAATTTTTTGAGAGCAATCGCTTGGGCTCGATGGAAAATTGCAAATCAAAAGCTGTGATAGATTTCAAACTGGAATCTCTTAATTTTGCAAAATGCATCCCTTTTTGCATTTGCACCACTATGCTAGTTCGTTGATATCCATAATTTCTAGAGCGCATCGAAGTTGTGGATATCCGACACGCACTAATGTGGAACCAAAATGATTAATGAGGGTGTTTTCATTAAGGCTCGCAATAAATTTGTCATCTGCACCCACAAATTGCAATACATTACCCTTGGTACCAATTAAAGTACTTTAGTTAGTGTTCAAGCAGAGCTTTTCTTTTGATCATTTTTCAAGTATTCTGAGTTTGCTTTTCGTTCAAGAACCTTCAAATTATGTGTCTGGAAAAACATGATGACTATAGCTAAGCAAAGCAAAAGATGGTCCAAAGACTTTGTAAGGTTCAACTCTTTTTTCTTATGTTAAAACAAAGGATGGTAGACCGAACAATAAAGCTCACCATTTTGAAGCTTGCTATAGCTACCATTCGAGGTGTACAGGCATTTTTAGGAAAGTTTCAAAAATCTCGTGGAATAAATATTGACAGGAGAGAAAGCTTTGTTAGTATGTTTGCGAGGAAAGTTCACGAAGAACTCAGGTTTTAAGCTGCAGATTCTGTGAGAACGATGACTATTGAATAAATTATCTGGTTTGCGAGGAACATTATTACTTCTTGGACATATATGGAGAAAGGTCATGTAAGGATAAAGATGAATTCCGACGCAAGAAAAGCAGACACCATTATTCACAGCACTAGCGATCAATTGTAGAATATGTTGAGCATTTTAATCCGGGCCTGGCATACTTGAGTTTTGTTAAAGATCTAATTTCTGCTTCTGCTTCTAGCAGGTAATGGCTTGGTGGAATTCTACGTTCTATCGAACATTCCTTCAGATGATCTTATGTTCCAATCAATAATAGTTATAGTTGTGAATGAGTAGTTCGCAGATTTAGTTTATTGTTTCAGAAGAGGCAGCAAAGCAACTGGCTGAGTTGAAATTTAAGCTTCAAGAAGCTGAACGTGAAAATACCAATCATCAGGGCAGTGTGAGTGCTTGTTTATCTGATTTGGGTGTACTACAAATCTTGAGGTTCCGCGAACTTTTTTGATGTGGATTTTTTGTTTGCAGATAATCCGAGTAGAAGGTCAAATGAAACGATTCAAAGCCAACGCTGAAGCGCTTGAAAAGGAGTTAGATGAAGTAAAAACACAAAATCGGCAGCTCAAGAAAGACGTAAGTTGTAGTTTTCCTTAACCAAACTGTGAAGCAGTCGTCTGCTAACAAGGAAAGAATACTTGGTCGAGGTTTCCATATGAAATATATTTTTTGGTATCTAAGCGTTTTTGAAGAGAGAGTTATGGAAAATTTTTGTGTCAAAAGTTCAAGGCTTTGGCAAGGCAAAAAAGTGTTGAGATTTTCGGTGATTGAAAGGAATAATGACTAGCATCATTATCTCACAAGGGGAGGATGATCCATCGAAGTGGGGTTTC